TCTTATCTAGAAAATAAGACTTATTAATAAACACAATTTACAAGAATTCATAATATGATAAATAAACAAAACTTATAAATTTATTAGATTTTATTAAATATCACTATTCTTTATAATAATAAAATTTTAATTATCTTTTACATTATATCAAAAGTTTATAATTTTATAAAAATTGCTATAAGCTTGAAATTAATTTATATAATGAATATTATATATTGTAACCTAGTTAGTATACTAATTAGAAAGTATTTTGTTATATGCAATTGATTTTCTTTAATAATAATATTTTTATACTAATAATAAATTAATAGAATTTAACAAATATAATGTACTATGCCTATTATAATAAATAAATAATTATAGATTTAACTTATCTATATTTTTTAAAAGTCAAATTGAACCTAGTTAAATAGAACTTATTTTTAAGATTACTGAAAAAAATATTACTTATATAGATCCAAAATTCTTTAATCTCATGCTTAATAATAATAAATATTATAAATTTTCTGATATTTATAGTTTAAAAAGATATTTTAGAAAATATCAAATGACAAGTCTTCTTTTTGTGATAGATTTGAATTAAACAGTACAAAAAAATTAAAAACTTTTTTTGTTCTTGAAAATATAAAAGATTCTATTAATTTATTTTTTATAGATTACAAAAAACTTTATTATTTATAAAATCCTGATTCTAAAGAATAATCATCAATTAATAAGATCATTAATCATCTTAAAGATATTGAACTTGATTGTATATATTAAGATTCTAATTATATTTCAAGAATGTGATAACTTAATAAAATAAATAAATTATTATCTTCTAAGTAATAAATTGTAAATTCAAAATCTACTAATAATAAAATTTGGATAATCACTTATATAATATATAAATGATATTATAGCAACAGCATTCTGTCGATCAGTTGAAATAAGATATCTGTAACTATAATCACATTAGCATGACTAATAGGTTTAGAGCATCTGTATAACCTGTTATACAGAAAAATGCAAATTAATATCAAATAATGCAAACCTAATATAAGTTTTTAGATTATGTAAATCTGTAGAACTAGAAAATCAAAATTCATTTAGAAATTCTGATCAAAAAAGTAACACAGATCTTTAATAATACTACTATAAAGACTAGAACTAGAAAATAGATACCAATATGAAAAAAAATCAGACAAGTAAGAACCTCAGATAAGAGATAACACCAACCAGACTACTGGATTTTGGATTAAAAGAAAAAGATATTGGACTAATCTCAATATACCAAAGACAGGTCACAATCCTTTCAGATTATCTGGATTGAAAGTCTGAAATCAAAATAAGAATATACTAAAAGTACTAAAAATATGTTGTGAAATCAGTACAGAAGTCTAAGTAAACTCTGTAAGGATAACTCTTGTTAGTATTTTAAAAATGAGTAGATAGTTAATAGTAAAAGATCTCTATCACTTACTGACAGGTGATGTATTCTGAAATGTATAATAGCCTAAGAACCAGTACAAAAAAAGTAGATATTATATTGCTCAGACAATATACTGGTTAGGTATATATAGGAGGTTAATTGAGATTACATCATGACAGGGTGGATGATCAGAAGGTTTAAATAGATAATCTCCTAGTAGGTTATAAATACAACATCTAATGTAGAACCTTAGAACAGACTACTTAAATAGGCAACTAAAAGTTGCATGTATGACTAGTTGTACTCTCATCTTTGTAAAAAATAATTGTAATAACTAACCCAATAAAAATCAATAAAGTATCACCACAAAGTATGATCTTTAACAAAAAAAAAAAAATTATATTTCAAAAATTCTTTGTAGAGTTCTTTTAAGAACATGATTCAGTTTACTTCAAAGAATGTAACTTGTTTAAAAATTACTAAAGGGTCTGCTCAAATACATTTTTCTTCTTCCGGGTGAAATATCTATAGGAAGGGTAATTCGAACGATGTCATTATAAAAGACCAGAAAAATTGCCAAAAAGCATGCAAGAATCATTGTAAATTATCAAGAACAAGAGTAATTTGTGTTGCGAACAAAAAATTTCGTAATAAGATCGAATTTGTGAAGCTGCGGCAGTGGCGTTGATCACGCGACCCGCAATTTCGATGGCCGTGTCCAAAGATTATTTAAGTATGTGTGGTTGGTTATTGAAGTCGACTTAAAAAGCTCGACTCAATCTACCTAAAAACCGACTAAACCGATCTGTTTAACGTCACTAATGATTGAACAAACCTGATTTGGTTACCTTTAATTCCGATTGGTCATATATTACACAATTGTTTCATCATACTTTTTATTTATTCATCAAATATTAAGGAAAATTTTAGAGATCAGCTGAACTGAATTCAATGGTTTTTTTTAAGCTTAAGCATTAAATTCATGCATAGGGCTGGCGTAAATATGCTATTCAAGCTTACACAGGTTTACGCAATTCCATCGCGAATAGCACATACCATGGGAAATCATACAATATTAACGTAGTTATACTCGGTTGTTAAATTTCAATAACGATGTACACTTCATATTACGCAAATGGATTTTAATGCAAACCCATTAATAAAAAAAAAAGGGCCAATCTGATAGTAAAAAGTAATAATGTGTTTTTCTTTTAATTCATCGACTTTGTAAAATTTTTGTCAAACTTTGACGTAAGTTTAAAGACACTTTCATCGTTCTTTTACAGAATTAGTGAAACGTTGCATTTTCGAAAATACCTTAAAATGCATAAATAATGAGTGCCCCGCACCGCCGCGTGAACTAGCAACACTAGTATAAATTGAAAATTTCGATGTGAATGAAGTGAATGATGAATGGCCATTAAAATTATTGATTTGCGGTACCGTGTGATTATATCAATATCCATATGATATAGGTAATAAAATACTATGTAGTACGAAGTGGCTAATTATAACTTTAAAAATAGTGAATCAAAAATATCGAATATTAAAAGATTTTCAAAAATTATCGTTATAAATACGGAAATTTAATTTTTAAAGTTCCGGATGATAAAGTTTCAAAATGGACACACTCGCTTCAATTTTCTCTCATAGTTCTTTATCACCTTCTGTTATTATTCCTAATGGTGGTCCAACACTTTCTTATCCTGGATTACATGGCCATGTCAAAATTTTTCAATATCAATTAATTGAAAGTTTCGACCTGAAACCTCAAGAAGTAATATCTATAGTATTACCAAATTCACTAGAATTTACTGTCTCATTTCTTGCTATTACCTTACTTCGTAATATTGCTGCTCCTCTGAATCCTGGTTATACTGAGAATGAATTCAAATTTTACTTTGAAGATTCAAAATGTAAACTAGTCATTTTACCAACGGGTTGGGTACAACAAAATAAACCTGCTGTAAAAGCTGCGAGGCATTTTAATATCGAGATCTTAGAAATGAATTGGGATGATTCTACTAAGAGTATAAAGACTTACTTTCAAAATAAATCTACTCTTGTAAATAATGAAAAACATCATTCATATCCATTGGATGTGGCTCTTTTGTTGCATACTTCAGGGACTACTGGAAGGCCTAAGGGTAGAAATCATTTATTGATCTTTTTGTTTAAATAAATGTATTACGTATGAATCATATGATTTTAAATTTTATCGGCATGTTAGGAGTTCCACTTACTCATAAAAATATCACTACAACCATGAAGAATATCGGCAATACATATAAATTGACTCCTGATGATCGTACATTATTAGTAATGCCACTTTTTCACGTTCATGGATTAATTGGTGGAATGCTTTCCACATTGTTATCCGGTGGAACAGTTGTAATTCCACCAAAATTTTCTGCAACTACGTTTTGGAAAGATTTTTTAGAAAACGAATGTACTTGGTACACAGCTGGTAAGAATAATATATCATAAATTTGTATAATTATTTTGTATTAACATTTTATTTTATTAACAAAATCAGTTCCTACTATACATCAAATTCTTTTGCGTCATCCTCCACCTAGTGGAGGTGCACCAAAGCTTAGATTTATTCGTTCATGTTCATCATCACTTGCTCCTAATATATTATTTGAATTAGAAAAAACTTTTAATGCACCAGTACTTGAAGCTTATGCTATGACTGAAGCTGCACATCAAATGACTTCAAACCCATTACCTCCTCTAAGGCATAAACCAGGTTCAGTGGGTATTAGTCAAGGCGTTCAAATCACTATATTAAATGAGAGTGGTAAACATGTAGAGGAAGGAGAAGTGTGTGTTAAAGGTTCAAATATTACATTAGGATATCTTAACAATGTTTCAGCAAATCAATCTTCATTTACAAAAGATGGTTGGTTCCGTACAGGCGATCAAGGCAAGTTTGATGAGGAAGGATACTTATTTTTAACGGGACGAATCAAAGAATTAATTAACCGTGGAGGGGAAAAAATATCACCCTTGGAACTTGATTCTATTCTGTTATCACATCCTGCAGTTTCAGAGGCTGTTTCTTTTGCAGTTCCTGATGATATATATGGTCAAGAAGTTCATGCAGCTATTGTTTTTAAACAAGGACAAAAAGTAACTGAACAAGATTTACAAATATTTTGTGGAAATAAAATAGCAAAATTTAAAATACCAAAAAAAATTTATTTTATTGATATGATGCCAAAAACTGCGACCGGTAAAATTCAAAGAAAAAATATCAGCGAGAAATTGTTCAAACCAGATAAAATTAAAGCTAATTTATAAATATAATAATTTCTATGTAAATTTCTTGATATCAAATCCTTATGTACTTGACTTGTTTAATAACCTTCAAACCATTAAATATCATGTCTTACCATATATTAGTTTCCTACAAATGGTCGAAAGAATAATTCAATGGATGTGTAAAAAAAATACTTTATGATTTATAAGATAATGATCTAAAACTACTCATGTATAATTTTTCAATAATGTTTATATAATAAAATTAATTTATTTAGCATATCGATGAAAGGTGCTTTACAACGTTTATAATGTGTATACGAAGTCAAGAATTACTAGGTGCAACTATTTTCCAAGAGTATTTTCTTGTTAAATAAGACCACGCATCTGGAAAAACACCTTCCGCCAATCGTGCAAATTCTCCTCTGGCAACAAATAAAATTTCCTTATCACCCCTTACGACACCTCTATAAATTATATTTGCGCATTCATCCGATGACATCGCACTCTTCATATCCAACCTTGATGGAGTTTTACCTAATCGATTGTCATTTATTTCAGTCTTCACAACATCCTAAAATAAATAAATATTTATTTATTTATTAATTTCATATCAATATAAATTTGTAAATAAATAAATAAATAAATATATGTTATTGTATTATCATTATTATTACCGGATAAGCCATAACAACAAAAATCTCATGCTCCCAAATTTCAAATTGCAAACTTTCGAAAAACCCTCTAAGAGCGAATTTCGAGCCACAATATCCAGTTCTCAATGGAACGGGACAAATTCCAAGAAATGAATCAACCACCACAATTCTACTTCCTTTAGAATTTTTTAAAAGATTTAAAGCTTTATATGTGATATAAGTTGATCCAAAATAGTTAATATCCATAATTGTTTTAATTATGTTATAATCGGAAATGCTTTCAAACCGTTCACCCATAGATACTCCAGCATTTAAAATTAAACAATCCAATTTATTAAATGAATCTTCTACTGTTTTAATCAATTTTGAAACATCATCTTCATCAGAAACATCACATTTAATGGTTATTACTTTAGTCGCTCCATATTGATCTCGACATTCATTAGCCACGTTAATTAATGCATCTTCTCTTCTAGCGCATAAAATTAAGGTGGAACCTTGTTTTGCGAACAAGTGAGCTAATGATCGACCTATTCCACTTGAAGCACCAGTTATCAGGACCACCTTATCTTTCGCAGGCCATGGCTGAGCTAATTTATGACGTTTATAACGTGCATATAGGTCGAGTAAATAAAGGAACGGATACAAAATCGTGAATAATGCAAGCATTGAAGTTTTAGTAAAAAATGCTATAGCTATCGATAGAAGACCAATAATAGATGGGATTAAATAAATAATCATTATACAACGACAGTGGACCTTTTTGTTTTTCTTTAAAAAAAAAAAAAAAAAGAAAAAAAAAAATTAGTATCTATAGCTATGCTGATATAACAATAAATTATTTCCAAAAATGATTTCTGGCTTGCGTTCTCAATTATATTCATATGATAATTACGTCTATATGATGATAATCTAATCCAGTAACCATTCGAATAGCCCATCTGCAAATCCTTTTAGCCTTATCCGTTAACTACATAATTTCTCATCATTATCTGTCATCCATTTAATCTAGATACAGAGACCTTAAATACGTACCGGTACGTACGGTACGCACTGAAATCAGTGTTTACAATGTTTAACTTGAGTTCAATAAACTATTGTCCACTGGGCCCATTTAGAGTTTCATCGGGTCTATTTGGAGCACCATTGTAGCATTGATTCCATTGTATTCATTGCCAACCCTACCCTTTGGAAATCAGGCATGTATATGCGCTTAGAGTGTGTGTGCATCTAAAAAATTATATTTTAGTTGGATCTGTACAGCGCGGACCATAGTACGTACAGGTATAGTACCGAGATACTATACTAAGCAATTTTTCATATGAAAATCTTTTTACATTGGATATACCTCCATAAGTATTTACATCCGATCATGAAAATTTTTAATAGAGGTTGTTTTCATAGGGAGGACACTATGGTCCGCGTTATACAGTACATATTAAAGAGGGTGTGCAGAATAAATTATATAAATTTTATAAACCAGAACTAGAACCGCATTTTAAAATAAATTATCAAATTTGTGTTTATGGTGAGTTCTGAATTTCGTTGTATATATATTCAAAAGAGATGTGTTTTTTACTCATTTTCCTAAACTTAAAAGGATTAGAATTCAGTTATTTTATGTCTGAAACTTAACAATGGGATAAAAATTATTTAAAGGAGTGAACTGCTTAAAGGCATGATTTGATTTCCTTGATCAATTAACGATTACACTGTTCACTTAATGATTTTTTATATATTATTGTTTAAAAGCCAAATGTATGATATATATTAAACGATTAATAATTTAAAATTTAAAATCGGGTAAGCGAAGAATTGCGGTTTTTAATCGATTGGGAAATTTTTTACTCGTTTAACGATATAACATAAATAAACGGTTAAACGAATAATGATCCCAAGCCTAGTACAGATATTAACCTTTGCATATTATGAAGTCAAATTTCCATCCATTATTATTAAAACTCATGGTTCCTGTTTTTTTTGCAACGCGCTATCATGTGGAACAACTGAAAAATATCCGATTCTCACTCACAACGATTGACATAAAATGCATAGTGAACCTTTTTACTAATTACATAAAGATAACGATAATAGATTTAATATATTAAAAGCCACATGACACATATAAATATTTTCTACAAGAAAAAAGGTGGTTTCAGTTCGTTTGAATGTCTAACCCTGCCTAGAATTTCAAACGTAATATATAACATAGACTATGTCAACAAAATGCCTACCTATGTAATCTGAGTTGTTTCTTTGATTATGAACCTAATGAGTTGATTATTAGTCGGTATGTCCAGTTTTCTAAGAACTATTAGTCTCGTTTATTTATTAGTTTATTCTAAATTTATAGTCTTTGATCTATACTATAGTATGTATTCATTTATAGTGTAAACTGGCTAGATAAGTTAATGTATACTAATAGTTCAAATATTGTACTGAATATACACATTATATTTGATTCAATTCAATAAATATTAGGATGAAAAATAAAAACCTATGATGTAATATATTTTATTTACAATGGCAAAGAATTAAGTACATGTAAATTCTAAAATTTTTGAAATAGAAAAGTAACTAAAAGTTCTTTGATAAATTTTCGTATAATGAGCGAAGTGCCATTGCTTTTTTCCATTACTACAAAAAGCCTGAAGTCCAATTATGAATACTAGAAACCTTTGGTATATCAGATTAAGAAACAATACCTTCTTGTGCAAGCATTTTCAATTCAATGCACATTTGCTCAGCTGTCATTTTCTGTCATGGATTTGCTGTGCCAATGTGTAAAAGGCTTTCTATTTGTTGTATTTTTGTAGATTTTTTTTTTAAATATTCATGTTTACAAATTCTTTTATTTTTTTTTAAAGTCTATTTATTAAAGAAAGTATAAGAACCCTATATAAGAAAAAGTCAATAAAAAAGAGAAATTTTTAGTAAAATTTTTTTAATTTCTAAATTAAAACATCTCAACAATTATCTAATCAAATTTAATAAAAATTTTTATCAAATTTGATTAAATAATTATTAAGTTATTAAGCTTAAAGTTAAGAAACTTTTATTTAGAAACAATTTGTTATTTTTTTAGTAACTTCTTTTTATATACATATGAGTGTCACTAAAATAAAACTAGCACATTTAAAAATAGATTTATTATATTTTATATAATAATTATATTTTTAAATATGCTAGCTTTCTTTTACTAATATTTATATATAAAGTTTTATTTTATATTATATCAATTTTGCTTGTGATTATTAAATTTTATTTTAATAATATATTATTTTTATGAGAATTACTATGTTTAGGCAGAGGAAATTTTTCAGTAATATAAAAGCAGAAACTGTATATAATATTATTAACTTTGATCTTACATTGGCATACAAATATAATAATAAATAATTGGTTATTTTGACAAACTTTTCTGCAAATAATCTGAGTAAATAAAGATTTGACCAAAAAAATCTAATTTTTTTATTTTTTTATTTTACAAAATATTGTAATTTTATTTAACTTATAGTATATAATAATTAACAGACATTAACATGTTTAAAGTATATATAATTTGATACCTATTATAAAGTTTTTCTATTAAGTGCACTTGGTGTTATAAGAGTTTTTAACTAATTTTTTTTTTTGGTGTCAAGGTGACCTCTTTGGTCTTTTGACTTTTTATTAATTATTTATTGGTATTGTAGTTCAATGAACTACTATAGGAGAGCATACAATTAGCTACATATTAACTTTTCTATATTATCTATTTAAGGAGTTTACCTGAAGGTTTTCTACCAATTGCTGTACCTAACACCTCTGCTTGGATGTTTCACTTTAAACTCTCTAAATCTGTAATTTGTATTAACTTACTGGGTCATATCCAGATGTCCAGATTATCATCTCAATTTTAGGACTAATTTATCCTCGAAATAAACTCTTTACAGTCTTCTGTACTTATTTTTACAGTTGATCTAGGTTTTGCTATAGTAAAACTAATACTTGCAATTAGAGCTTAACCATTAAACTGCTATGCCCTTGTAGAGTTCACTTAGATACTAGCATCTACTTTACAGCATAACCCCAGTACTTTAGTATACTTCTGTCTTTTCACTTGTCTTTTTACCAAACTTCTAATCTAGATAGCTCATATAGGACTATAACCAATCTATCAGTATATCAGGTTAGTTCGATATTCTTTTCTTCTAGTTTGTTTTAGTGGTCTGGTTAGTGGTACTCCTGAGAATCCCAACCTATAGGTTCTTACCCATTTAGCTACTATAACTAGGTACTATAATCTTGGTATCTATTTCTTTAAGCTAGCCTTTATAATAAAACCATCAAAGATCAGCTATCTTTCTATTTAGATCTTTTCAAATGGACTTTTTGTTACCTAATTTTAACAGATTTACATGACTACAAGGACTTATTTAGTGTTTGCATTACTTGATTTATCAGTTTGCATTCTTTTGTATAATATTATACTTACACAAATGCCTATAATCTGCCAGTTATGCTAGTGCAACCACTATTACAGGTATTTTAACCCAATTGTTAGTAACAGTTGCCATAATACAAATATTACATAAGTGATAATCCAAATTTTCACTATCAACAGAATTTGAACACCTAACCTACTACTTTGAAAATTGACAATCTGACCACTTTACTAGATTACCACACTTCTGTTTTTAACTAATTTTATTTAACAATTAACTAATATACTGTATATATTTATTAGTATCTACTTAAAAAACAAGTTTTATATATTTTTAGATTATTATTTTTTATTATACAGATAAAAAATAATAAACTAAATAGTATTAATTTATAAAAATAAGATATATATAAGTGTTATAATTGGTTTTTTTATCTTATATTATTCAATAATTGTTTAATATAGCTTATAAGATATAAAATATATTTAAAATTCAAGTTTTATCTTCTTTTGGACTACAACTACTGGTATAATTTTATTATTATAAAAATTTAAAAAGTATAAATTTTTATCAACATTTTTATATATTAAATATATACTTATTATTTACATAATGAATTTATTACAATTCAAAAAAAATAATAAAGAAAATAGTATTAGTTTAAAAAATAATGATCAAATATAATTATTTTTTAAAAGTATCTTAACTGAGATAAAATTGTTTTTTATAAACTCATTCTATGAACCTGAAATAAATAAAATATTTGATATAAACTCTTCTGATAATAAGAATAAAGAACTAGTATTGAAAATTTATAAAAAACAGACTTTTATATATGAAATAATATTGAGAACTTTCTAAAAAAATATGATTTAGAATAAGGCTTTAGTATTTAAAAAAAATATACTAAGTTATGTTTTAAGAATACTAAACAAGTTATATATAAAGTTATCTAGAAATATAGTTAAGATAATAATTATTAGTTTAAAAAAATTTTAAATCTAAAAGACCAACAGAATTATAAATTAAAATGCACTAAATATAATAATATGTTAATGCAAATATATCTAAATTAGCATTAATAATTATATTTACAATTTTTGTTTTTTTTTTTTTTTTGTTTTTTTTTTTTTGCTTTTGCTAAGGCCATTAGTTATTGGTAGCTATTGCCTTTATTGTGAATTTAATTATGATTATATAACTTGTACAAGATTACCCCTATACTGCATTAGCAAATAGTGTACAAGTTCTCATATACCTAATTAGATGCTGTCTAATCTAATCCTGATCTCTCTGTTTGTATATCTGTCAAGT